TAATAGCAATAATAAAACTCACACTTCATGGAGTCTAAGCTTGTCAAAATAACCCACGACCTAAAGAGCACTGCACTTTCTAATCTGCAGAGGAAAGGGATGTTTTCTCATTCACTATAGAGCTTCTTCTAGAGCAAGCCCTGTCTGTCTGCATCAGGATGTACCCGTCAGAAGGCTATGATATCAACGGAAGAAAACCCAGCTAGTTATTCACAACTTACCTAAGGCAGATTCACTCAACAGAACATAACTGAAAGTACTATCTGCCATTTTGCATTCCCAGATCCAGTTCTTTCTCTTGTTTTGGTTTTATTTCTTTTTATTGTTTCCCTTTCTTTTGTTTTCAAGTGCTAAGAGTTATGTAAGATGTAAGACAAGGAAACAAAATAACCTCTGGGACTCCCACATGAGATCATCAGGAGGATTATTAGATCTGGCACAGTCAGCTCCCACTTTACTGCTCCCTGTAGCCCTCCCTGAGGACAGGCAATGGGGTTACTGAGCTAGACTTACTTTTACAGCTTTCTCTTTTATCTTCTTTTTTTTTTTTTCAATCCTGAATCAACGATTCTCGTAATGTTGTAAACCTAGCATGCATGTGAGGAACTCATTCAGCCTACTTGCATCTATTATGTTACTTACACACAGTCCCATCTGAATGAGAGCTTGAAATTGCAGCTTCTGTGAAACAAAGCAGCTGAACAAATGAACACTGAAAGGTTGGAGTTTAGGTCAAGAAATTTGAAATACTGGGCAGTGCAGGTCAGATCTTTACCTGTAGGTACAGAGCTACTGGAGTTGAGAAAGCCAGTTGGTTTTCCTCCCTACCACCTGCCACACTACACTACAAAAATGTCAAACCATGGACTTAATGTATATAAGGAGCGACAGAAGAGAACACTATTGCTAATGGTGTCCCAGCTATGTTTGGAGACTGCAGAAGAGAAAGGGGCTACCTGCAAGACTAAGAAGGGGAGAGAAAGTGTAAGATAAAGCACAAAGTCACAAACAGACCTGATGTGATGGCATACTAGAGAGGCAGAATAAAAGTATCTGAAAAATCAAAAGTCTGGCCAAACTATTCTTAAATATTTACCTTAAATACTATAAAAAGCACTGTGAAGTTGTAGGAGTCAAATTCCTATTCTCCCTCTCATATTCCACATGTAAATTGGGAAAAACTTCAGGATAATCAGTCAGCTTCAGAGCAACACAAGGTTAACAGCAGTCATGTGGAGCGCAGAGCTGCCTCCTGTTGAGCGACCAAGACTATCCCAGCATGGTGTCTCAGGACAGACCTCATATGAGCATCAACTCTAGCCACTTGTTTGGCTTGTGAGCCACTGGGAAAAAAACAGTTGTAAATGGATATGCTTACAGTTGCAACCACATACAGTGATAAGGGAAATATCATCAGAAATACAATTTTTGGAAGTCCTGCATTTGTACGGATACTGAATACTCCATGTGGCCTGTATTCCTGTAGAATAGAATCTCATATATTTTACTTCAGTTTTATAACCTTGAGATAACAACATACATGGAGACCACTATCTTCATTTTAGTTTTCTGTCAGCAACAGAAAATAAATAACTAAATAATCACAGAGGAAACTGGAAGACTGACCTGGATAAAACCCACTCTCCTGAATCCCAGGCTGGTCCCCTACCTGCTCTCACTTGAAACTTAACATTTAGGTATGTTTCAGTAAGGAATGTTTTTTTTTAACATACCCAGAATTACTCTCTGGTTTGCCAGAACGTCTGTGTTCTTGGACAGGACAGTTTCTGAGAAGGGTGGCCAAATGTCCATCAGGTCTGATGGCAAGGTGGTTAACTTGTTGCTGGATATGTCCAGGTAGGTGAGGTTCCTCAGGTACCGGCCAGCATCAGCAGGGAAGCCGGGGACTTTTTT